AAAAAAAAAAAAAAAAAAAAAAAAAAGATTAAAGGGACAGCATTTTAGTAGTGTGAATTTTTGTGTAGTTTTAGACATTGCATCTTTGCTTTTTTTAGAATTATTGATTAATATTATATTAACTGCATGGAAAATAAAGATATGAAAAAAGGCTTACTCCTAAAATTCTATTCCCTCCCTAAGATGCCTTTAAGACAATAAGTTATTAGGCAGTTCTTTTTCATTTAAAAAAGATGCTATATTATGGAGTTTCTCAGAATTTGTATTTATAGTTCATGTTTATAAATCTCTAGATGTTAAAAATATGAATTTATATGTAGTAATTCTGTGTAACTAAGGTTCAGGTACATATACATACATATGTATATATTCCAAATTTGAACTTTATTTTTAATTGGTAGTTTGACATTCAGTTTAGAATAATTTGCTTTTATTCCAGTGCATAAGGGAAATTATGCTAACTTGCTTCTGCCTGTGCCTTTGTATTGCACTTTTAAGTCACGAGGCATGAGAGCAGTCACTTTGGCTCCATCTACCCTCACCATCTCCTGTGCCTTCTAAGTTTTGTTGATACGTCCTTTACATATTCGATCCCCAGTCATTCCCATTCTTGTTCACTATAAATATTCTACCCTCAGGATTTGCTCCCTGAAATGATTCCAAAGATATGCACATTGGAATATGGATATAAAGTAATTAATATGAGAAATTAAACTCACCCAGAGGAGATTGCCTCTCCTCTGGCTCTAGAAATCAACTGCAGTGTGTTGACTCTTAGCACAATGAGTGAGTGATTTATTTCCATATCTTTGGGTTTGAGCACCAATATTTGCTTCTTCACTTACTTTACTTATTTTGTGGGAAGACTTCACCATCCATGTGTGAGGATTTTATAGTGTTTTGTTCAAAATCATACAGCAAGTGATGGTTTAAATGATCTTAGAAATACAGTTGCTCTGTTTGTCTTTTCTGTAGACCACACATAGTTATTTCATGTCCCATCGTTTTAAAGCCCTTTTCTCTGTCATTTCATCTTCACCTCGATTCAGTGGGTTGGCATCAGTGATCTTCTCCACATCTCCAGTATCAAAGGCTAGAAACTGTACAGAACCACAACACCCTAGTTTCTTAATATAAAGAATATTTTCTTTGAAGAAGGTACTGTTATAAAACTATATTCAAATTCACCTGGTGATTAGTGTCTTTAGCTAATGGATAGCACCACTGATGAGTTAGCAGCGCTTAAGATTTCTCTCTCAGTGCCTATCAACCTTGCAGATGGTGACAGGTGCCCAAGACTTTACACATGGATTTAGGTATTTATTTTAAAATTTTAAATATGTCCTGTTAAAATGCTAGATATTAATTAAACAGTAGAGCAAAGATCTTTTTCAGAATACTTGAAATATGGTATTAAGAATTTACCTAATTGGCCAGTTGTGGTGGTACACACCTCGAGTCCCAGCACTTGCGAGGCTGAGGTAGGATGATCACCACTAGTTTGAGGCCAACCTGAGCTACGTAGTGAGCTCAAGGATAGCCTGAACTACAGTGAGACTTTGTTTCAAAGAAAAAGATTTAAGAAAAAAGAATTTACCTAATGATGAGCATCGTAAGAATTTAGGTTTCATGGTAAGTGATTTTTTTCCTTTGGTTCAATATAGATCAAAGAAAATGTATTAAATAAACAGAAAATAGTAAATATTTGGAAAACATACATTATGTACTTAAGAAACTGTACTATAAAATAATCTCTACAAAAACAATACAGTTGCACGGTTTAGGTTGCAAATAAGAAAAATGGATGACTTTTGCAAGAAAATGGAAAAAGTTGGCTGTTATTTGGGGAGGTAACAGGATTTTTTATTTTTACATATTGCCTCATCTGTAGGCTTTTTACTTTAAATGTTTTTAATAATTACTATTTAATAATTAGTCAAGAAATTTTATAATAACATATTGTGATCTATACCACCAGGCATAATCTCTGGATGATCTGCTTGTAAAAGTTTGGTTTGATCTATTTACACTTATACAGTGTTAAGGCTATTACATGTAGAAAGAAACTATTTGCTCTCATCTTTTGATGATAAAGGTTAATGATTCTTTAGCAATGGTATAGCTATGAAATTAAGTAATAAAAGTTATAATTGTTCTTCTACTTTGGCTTCTTCTAGATGTATTGAACAAAAATTTAAACGCTGCCCTCCCTTGCCTACCACCAGTGTCATAATAGTTTTTCATAATGAAGCGTGGTCCACGCTGCTTAGAACTGTCCACAGTGTGCTCTATTCTTCACCTGCAATACTGCTGAAGGAAATCATTTTGGTGGATGATGCTAGTGTAGATGGTAAGAAAGCACAAATTAGATTGTTTCCCCAGTGAATCTATACGGTGGTGTGCAAGGAATACTTGGTTATGTTGTGCTCTCTGTCTGCCATCTCTGAACTTGGATAGTTTGATTGGTATGTGTGACGTATGAAAGTAGAAGCCAGGGATATCCATATTCAAATATTTTGAAGTGCAGTAATGTGTGAAACACATTATTCATGACTATTGGTCTCAAAGTGTGACTTTTATTGTAAGATATTGTGATTAATAAGAGCACAGATTACAGCCTGGAGTCAGGCTGCCTTAATTTGAATCTCAGTTCTTGTTCTAACCAGCTGTGTAAGTTGGCAAATTATTTAACATCTCTGTTTCAGTTTCTTCATTGATAAAATTGAAATCATACCATACTGCATCAAATTTAAGGTATCATTAGTTTATAAGTCAAAAAAAGAAAAACATAACCAATTAAACTGACATGAAATTGATTACAAGATGTATCCAACTTTGTAACTTAGAATTGAGAACATAGAGAAATAGTATATAACTCCTAGGGTTGTTTTGAAAAGTCAATGAGTTAATATAAATATCAATTATTACTAAATAATAACTACAGTTTGCTTTGCTTTGGCCAAAATTTTTAATTCATTTTCACTTAAAATTGTAGCTCAGGCACTAAATTACACATTTTAAATTGGAATTATAAGCCTAATCTAATATGCTAAATTTTCAAAATTACGTGTGTTTTAAGTACCGAACAGATTATCTCTAAGACTGCAAAGTTTATTCCTAAAGGAACCCGTGTTTATAGGCAGATTCCCAAAGATCTCCTTCCAGGTGGTGTTTTTTCATTTGTGAAATGGAAATATATGCTTTATCAAATCCAAAGCACTATCTATTTTATCTTTTTTTAAGAAAAGAAATCAGTACTAGGAAATGAACCTAGGACCATTGTACTGAGCTATATTCTCAGCAACTTTTTAATTTCTATTTTGAGACAAGGTCTTGCTAAGTTGCTGAGCTGCCCAGACTGGGCTCGAATTTGTGGTTCTCCTGACTCAGCCTCCCAGAATGCTGGGATTAGAGGCATGTGCTGTAGTGCCTTGCTACACCATTATTTTATGTCCATGTGAAAAGGAAAAGGTGCCTAGTGAGTTACACCTCATCAATTGTGAGATGTATACAGATTCCAGACATAGTAGTAAGTGAGTAAAGTTGAAATGATTAGCCTGGTTTATTTATTTATTTTGGTTTTTGAGACAGGGTCTTACTGAATATTTCAGGCTGCACCTGAACTCACTGTGGAGCCCAGGCTGGCCTCGAACTTGTGGCAGTCCTCCTACTTCAGCCTCCTAGTGCTAAGCTTATAGACATGCACCACTAGACCTGGCTATCCTGGTTTATTTAACCACTTTGACATATAATTCTAAAGGTTTCCATGGTTTTAAAATTAAATATTTTGAGTAAATTGTGGTTATAGTCTTAAGATAAGTGAAAGTTTAGGTTAGCTTTGCTTAACCTCCAAGATTCTGTTTTTGTTTTGTCTTCAAAGTACTGGGGAATGAACTCAGGGAGGGCTGATCTACATCCTCAGTCCTTTTTTTCTTTTGGTTCTTTATTTTAGGACAGGGTCTCCTGAAGTTGCCCTGGCTGGCCTTGAATTGGCGATCCCCCTGCCTCAACCTCCTGGATAGCTGGGATTAGAGATGTGCACCTCCATACCTATCTAATAGCAGAGACTTTTTTTTTTAAACCTGGATGTGAAACCTATCCTTTAAATGTTGAAGTTTTATAATTCAAGCCCCTAGATTCAAGTTTTATACTGTAGAAATCTAATTCAAATCCCTAATACCCAGGTTACCTCACCATTTAATTGTAATCAGCGGATTTATTTACTGTTTGACCTGAGTTTTCCCCTCTTCTGTCTAGTTGAACTGTTTTCCATAGGCTTTATGTGATGTCTGATTAGCTTCTGCACACCTCTATATACTTTATGTTAAAAACAATGCTATGTTAAACATCTTTTCTTTTCCTTTGGCTTCTTGAATGATTTCTCTCAGATGATTTTTATTTTGTTTGATCACAGTAAGTTTACTTCCTATAAGCCTTCAACTGACAGCACTGTCTCTATTTAATTATAGAACCAGAATCCCTGAATTAAACAAAATCAGAATTTAAAAACATACTCATAATGTTCCTGTTTCCTTTTATTCCTTTTACTTTCTTTCTTCATCTCTGTCTAAATAAGGGTATGTTTATCTAATTATCCATGTCAAGGAACTCATTTTAAAAAGTAACATTTTCACATAACATTGTTATTAGCCAGTTTATCTTACTTTTAAAACTTTATTTTTAATGATGGTGATTTACCAGACATATTTTCCTTACCCTTTCATCTTTCCTTCATCCTGCAGTGGTATTCTGTGTTATACCACAGCAAACACTATTCTTGTCTTCAGATCGCTTCCTTTCGTTGCATTATCCTTTTAGACAAGTTAGAAGTGAAACTGCTTAATCAATTGAGCTGAATATTTGTATAATTCTTTATAGTGTCTGACAGTAGATTTAGAACAGTTTTCTTAGAGAAAGTTATCTTTGGGTCCTCTTGTAGTTTGTCTCACACAATTGAAGCGCTATCAAACAATGCCCATTGTGGAAAATGTATCCCTTTCTGCTGGAAAGGAGCCTGGGAAGTAGAAACTAGTCCCTGGTTCCACTTTGCCTGGGAAAAGGCAGCATAAAATATGTGCATGGGTCACAATAAAGTTGTTAAACTCAGTGATAGTAAAAGAAAAGACACTTTTCAGAGCACAGGCCATCTGCTAGGCTCTGTCTTTATAATGCTTTATTTGTACAGTAATTTCTCATTTATCTTCTCAATAATGTTCTCTAGGAGTAAACACTGTAATCTTTATTTTATGCATAAAGAAACTAAGTGACAAGTCAGGTAAGAGAGCTGGACTGAAGTCTCATAGCTAAAAGTAATGATGCCCTCTGAGCTCAAGTGTACTTACCCTCCAGGAAGGAGAGTATAGAGTAAATTTCAGGGACAGATAAGAATTTACAGGAAGTTCAGAAGTCTTGGATAAGTTTTAAAAATTTTTAATGAATTCAAACAATGAGAGGTTTTATGGAAAGGATCTGTGGAAACTCCATTTTAAAAAATCAATTCCTATTAAGACCTTTAAAATTTTACAAGTTTCTGAAAGCAGAAAATACTTTTAAGTTTCTTCTTTATAAACTACAACGCTGCTTGTCTTTAAGAGATTTATTTCAAGAGAATTTAGAAGATGCCTCAAAGTTAAGACTACTATTCTGAGATAATAGTGTTTAGATTTAGATTTTTCCAGAGGGTTGTTCCTGAAATCTCACCTCCCTTATGAATGTTTAAACTGTAAATCAGCAGCTATCTTATCTGTATCACTGTAAAACTGACAAAAAGAGATATCATCACAGATGCCCTCAGAGTCATCTGAAGCTCTCCTGATACATATCAGAAGCCACCATCTGGCCTAGGACACTATTGACTTGCTCCACATTTCCACATCTTTTCTCCACAATTTGTGTCCTCGCCAAAAGAAAGCCACTTGGAGAACTGCATTATTTACTCAACAGGATTTGGGAATTTAATGGTGAAAAATGAGCTTAAGATGTTTGAAAACATAAACAGCCTTGATCAATGGAGTTTTCTTTTACCTACTGTCTCAACTTTTGCTTATTATGTATCTCATCCAAATTGGAATGTCCAATATTTTAAATTATATACCTATTGCTATAATTTTGCTTGCTTTTAGCTTCCTGATTTACATGTTCCTTTCTACTTCCATATTTTTATTGGAAGGAAATCTGTCAGGAGACTCCAAAGCTTCCAAAAATTTCCTGCTGACTGTAGAAATATTCCCAAACCATTCTAGCTCTGGACTTTCCTGTTGGTCTTTTTCTCAACATTTTGGCCTTAAAGTATTTTGATCACTGCCTAAATATGAAAGAATCCCTCTGATACTTGGCATTTTCATTAAGATTTCCAGGCTTAAAAACCAATTTTAAAAAGTGTCAAGTATCTTTTTGGCCAAGTCGTATTTCTTTCACTGTCACAGTCAATCTCTGGATGCATTTCTCAGGCTCTACCCTGTTTACACCTCTGTTCTGTCCCATCCAAACATGTTACATTTATTAACATGAAATGTACAAGATACATATGTGTTATCATGTGTAACAGTAGTTAAATATGCACATAGAGCCTTTTTCCCAGTGAAGAATAAAGGTAAACATTTTCATCTTAATGAAAGAACGTGTGAAACTATTAACATGCATTTGGAAAGATATTTGCTCTGCAATTTTATTAGGTTTCCTATATTGTATATGAAAATAAACTTAGAAATAACCCTGATTTATTTGTCTTTACAGATTACTTACATGAAAAACTAGAGGAATATATCAAACAATTTTCTATGGTAAAAATAGTCAGACAAAAGGAAAGGAAAGGTCTGATCACCGCTCGGTTGCTAGGAGCAGCAGTAGCAACAGCTGAAACGCTCACATTTTTAGATGCTCACTGTAAGTATGTGTGTACAGATATAGTTGTAACATTTTCCCTTTCCTCCACTAATTTAAAAGTTAATATTCTCTAGATGCCTAATTCCATTTTCTTGGAGAGCATTTTCAAGTATTCCAGCAGTGACAGTCCAAGCAGAAAGTGGCTGTGCCTAAGAACATCGCTACACTTGGGCAGAACTCTACCTCCATTACGGTTAAGTCTCCTCAGCTTTAATGTTCTCCACGGACCAGATTCTAAGTGAATTCATGACAAGGATTTCTCTTTTTGCTTTTGCTTACAGATGTTCATCCTATTTGTTTATTTTATGTTATTTTAAAGAGAAAAGAACAAAAACAAACCAACAAAAACAAAACAGCCCAAAAGCTATAAAAATGATACAGAATTTCAGAACAAGTTGATAGGAAGTCTGCAATCATTGTTGTATTACTGTTATCTTCAGAGTAGTTGCTGAGATTACCAGATACAGGTGTGTAAGGTTCATCAAGTAATTCAACATTCACTGTTCCTTTCAATAAACCAAAAGCACAAGCGCCTGCCCATTCATCCTGCTTAAAAGCAGGAAAAACTTTTTTATTATATTTGATTGTCACATTTTTAAAACAAAAATAAATTTGCTTAAGTGTAGTAAACATTATCATTAACCTTTGGCCCAGTTCTGCCACTTGTAACTTTGATATCTCAGATCTCTCTTTTTTGCAAGATTTGTGAGATCCTTCTTATGTCAAGTTAGGGATATCCCTTCCCAACTTCCACCTTTTCCATGAATATTATCAATTTTTGTTTCAGTGTTGCTTTTGGGATTTTTCTTTAATGTGTTTCAGTGTCACTGTTTTTAGGTACTACGTACAGTATTCAGAAAGTATTTTTGGAATCAGTGTATTATGACTTGAAGTATTAATAAATATCATGTAGTCCCTTGAGCTATAGGTTTGGTGAGTTTCAGTTTTTGTTTTTTGTTTTTATTTTTGGGTTTTTAATATTTTGAGCATTTAGCCTTGAACTTGCCAGCCCTTTCATTATCTTTGGCCCAACAAAGATTGTAAGCATATGCTAACATTACAGAAGGACTTTTAGGTTTCCTGGAGTTGTTTAAAGCCATTGCGTCCACCATTCTTTCAATACAAGATAGTTAAAATTGAAAAGAGACCTGGAGATGTTTTTCAAAGAACACCATTCTTTTTCCAGTTCATCATTAAAATAAGGGTAGACCCCTCTTTGGGAATGTGTACGATGGTACTCCTGTCCCAGGACTGCCAAAGTTTACTTACTGGGGAGTCCAGAACAGGACTGAATATGTCTTGCCTGGCCTCATTCTGTGTTATGCAGGATATCTCAGTCCATAATGAGAGTTCACACTTTTCATAGCAGTCCTTTGCCCCCACCTTCCACTAAGTTGTATTTTTGAATGGTCTTTTATCTCCACTGCTAAAATCAAAATATTCTGAGTCCTTGATGTAACTTTCTCCTAATGCCCAATGAGGGGAATGAAGTTTTCAATTGCTCTACCTTACTGGGGGGTTGAGAGCAAGTTTAACTATATCAGAACATATTTGGGCTAGGTGAAAAGCTTCCTGTTTTAAAGGGAAACAACATATAATCTGAAGCTTAAATATATCTATATTTGATTTCTTCTAGGAGAAAAGGATCATCATCTATAGGGAAATTTTCCTAGTTATCTCAGTCTTGCTTTTCCTTTCATCCTACCTCATCACAAAAAATCTAGAAATCCTTTATTTTGCAGATCAATTGTACATGATAGGGTCTATAGTTTATAAAGTATTTTATGTGTAAAATTTGCTAGGAGTAGATCTTAAATATTCTTAGCAGATTAACTCAAGTGTGGTGGTGAATGTGTTAGCTTGATTTTAGTGACCATTTCACAGTGTATACAAACACCAAATCATTATGCTGTATACCATAAATATGGGGAATTTTTGTCTATTATAACTCATTAAAGCTAGGGGAAAAAGAAATCGCTACTATCTATACACATGTTAAAAAAACACACAAATAATTTTTTATTCCCATTTCTCTGCAAATTTCGACCAAACAACCAAAGAAAAACATTCAGTGTTTTCAATGAATTGATTAAAATTCTGTTTTTTGCAGGTGAATGTTTCTATGGTTGGTTAGAGCCTTTGCTGGCCAGAATATCCGAGAACTATACTGCTGTTGTGAGTCCAGACATTGCCTCCATAGATCTGAACACATTCGAATTCAACAAACCTTCTCCTTATGGTAGTAACCATAACCGTGGAAATTTTGACTGGAGCCTTTCATTTGGCTGGGAATCACTTCCTGATCATGAGAAGCAGAGAAGGAAAGATGAAACCTACCCAATTAAGTAAGATGATTGCTCTCAATGTTTTATATTTATACTGTCACACCATGTATTGACTATGTATGAATTTTTAGTTTTTACATCAGTTGCCTCTGAGGTAGTTCATACTAACAATAAAGGAGAACACATGTTCTAAATATAGAGAAAATTCAAATAATCTAGTCACGCATGAGATTACTGAATAGGAAATACAATAAAATAAGCTTTTGTCTTCCAAATAAATAATTAAGAAACTTATAATATGGTTAGGAGAAAACACTGATCTTGGAGAAGACATTGAAAATACTCATTTCCCTCAGAGTTGACTCCTGAGATAATATTTCAGTTCTTATTAATCTACAAAAAGTTTAAATTATGGTATCTCTTTAATTTATAAAGTTATTCAGATGTTAGTATATACTATTCTAACTTGTGTAGTTTTTTTTTACAAAGTTTGATAATGTATTATTTTTCAGAACACCCACTTTTGCAGGAGGCCTTTTTTCCATATCAAAAGAATATTTTGAGCATATTGGAAGTTATGATGAAGAAATGGAAATCTGGGGAGGTGAAAATATAGAAATGTCTTTCAGGGTAAGTTTGTGGAGATTAAATATGGACACATGTTAAACAATGAAGTGTATTGTCTTCTAATTGGCGGGTACAGATGATTATGAATGTATGCAGTCTTTTAGTGGTTTTTAATATTTAATTACTGGGAATTTTAGGATAAGAACATTTCCTTTTAAATTGTGACTTGATATATTTACACATGGTTGCCAGTGTAACAAGAAGAATCAGTTAAACCAATTAATGCACTTGTAGCTATTGAATTCCAGCCAAGATAAATATAATTAAACCTAGTGGTTCAGGAAATGAGTTGATTATCAGGGGAGTTGCATGGAAAAAAAGTTTATGTGTAATTTTAAAGGACATTGAACTTAACTCTTTGGGTAAAATATACCATTTTCCTATACATATTAAAATTAATATGAAAAACAACACAAAAGCTTTGGGTAATCTCAACATTACCTAATTTGTTTGATTTTATGAGTTTGTTATAATTTCATCATTAATTTTTCATCTCTTCGGCTGGAATGTAGTGAAAAAAGAAACGAACTAGGAGTTAAGATTTATATAGTATTAGTGCTGGCATTGTCACTCCCTGGCAGTGATGATCTTACTCCAGTTTGGACTGTAAGGGCAGGAGTCTTGTTTTATTCATTTAAATATTTGCAGCATATACCACATTTTTTATTTCAGGCATAGTTTGTGGACTTGAAATATTAGTGTTTTTTTGTATGTTTTAAGAATAGTAAAAAGGAAGCAAAAGATGGGATCATTTGCTCTAATACTAGGAAATACTGTTAAACATAACTTCTTTTCATACTTTTTGCTTAGTGATTATAACAAAATCAATTATTAGCACATTTAGATAAAACTAAACAATAATTTCATGATTCACCATTGTATTTTGAATTAATACAAATAAGTTTTTGAACACAATCTAAATAGCCATCAACTTTTAATAATAACTGAACTGTTTTGCAAATTTAGTGGATTATACTTTGATAATCATTGCTATCAGGAATTATTTTCTTGGCCACCAAATTGAATATATAACGGGTAAATAGCGTTCCACTAGACCTAGTTCATCACTGAGAAGAGAAATCCTGTAATTTAAACGAAATGATCATGTCAGTTGTATAAATTGAAAGTCAGATGCACAAGAGCCTTTGATCTTCTGTGTATATTAGTTAGAAAACTTGGATAACTTTTTGAAAAGAAAATAAATACATTTTGGAGGCTTTTCTTCTTTTCTTTTTTGGTGATCGTATTGCCTTTGACTCCAGAGGCTTCACACTGACCTACATCCACAGCTTTTTGTACTTTTTATTTTGATATAGAGTGTTGCTAAATCCCTAATTTTCCCAGCCTCAAACTTTCCATCCTCCTGCCTTGGTCCCCCAGAGCACAGGGATTGCAGAGGTGTACCACCATCGCCGAGTTCGTTTCTGTGCAGGGTCCAAAATCATTGTTAGCTTACCTTCGGGAGATGTGCTTTTGCTGTCCTTAGCGTTTCCTTCATTTAGTAAAATTGTTCTTTCCATTTACACAGCTGAAGTTGAAGTGAAACAGCAGGGAGGCTATTGGTAAAATTATAATAATTCCTTATACTTTGTTTACATTAGTATCTTAAAGGTGAATTTTTAGGCAACAGTTTGATTTTCGCTAAGTACTGTACATTTAAACAAATATCATTAATCATCAGGTATGGCAGTGTGGTGGGCAGTTGGAGATTATGCCTTGCTCTGTTGTTGGACATGTTTTTCGCAGCAAAAGCCCTCATTCCTTTCCGAAAGGCACACAAGTGATTGCTCGCAACCAAGTCCGCCTTGCGGAGGTTTGGATGGATGAATACAAGGAAATATTTTATAGGAGAAATACAGAGGCAGCCAAAATTGTTAAGCAAGTAAGTTACAGCTAAGTCATTAAATTATAAATGTCTATACCAAGTTCACAGGTTCTTTTGCTTGAGAGACCTCAAGCACAAAACATTTAAAAGATTTTTGAAGCTGGGCTTTAGAATTTTAACTTTTAAAATGTATCTTATAGAAGCCCGTCTTCTTCTGTTGAAAAGAAGAGTGAGGGGGCTGGGGATTTAGTTCAGCGGCACAGCGCCTGCCTGGCAAGCGCAAGATCGTGAGTTCGGTTGCCGGTACCAGAAAAAATAAATAAATAAATAAATAAAAAGAAGAGTGAAGCGTTTTTTTTTTTTTAAATTCAGGCATTTTACATGCTCTTATCCCCTATGTATGAAAGATATTTCATTTAAGTGACTGTGCATATTTCAATATTTTACTCAAAAAAATAAGATTAAGTAGAACTGCTTTTTTTACTGGTTTCAGTGGATGTGTTTAAAAACCTAAAAATCAGTTCTAAGTGGCATTTTAAAAAGAAGATAGAGATGAAAAATGTCTTAACGGGCCATGAGAATGGGCCAGGCTTATCAAGACTTTCTTTTTAAGTTCTAGTTCTTTTACTCCCTGGAGGTGCTGGCTTGGCAGTGCCCGTTTGAGAACATACAATGGGGATGGCACTCATAGAGTAGTTACCAGGGCCTGGATGTAGAGTACATGGGACATGTTTTGTCTTTCTTCTTCCCTGTCTTCAGAGATGAAGTACATGTCCTGCCTCTCTGCCAGAGTTGCTTTGAAATAAGGAAGTGCTAAGTGCTAACAAACATACAGAGCTCTTATTATTACCTAGTCAGAGCTAGCTATTCCACCCAACAGAATCGTGATGCTTAGTACCCCAGACCTGAGAGTCTTTATATTGGACGTGGTAAACTTACTAGACAGTTTAAGACACTTAAACAGTTAAGACACTTCCATACATGGCAGCCAAATTTTTGTAGAAAATAATACTAGTTTATTGAGAGTCAAAGGCATCAACATCTTGACTATCATGGTAAAGAAAGATCTCATTACCTACTGCCACATTTTCTTTGGTCTCTTTTGTCACCCTATATCATGTCAGTAGGAGGCCAATTCAGGGCACTACTGGGCTAGATTACTCCCCCAGGTCGCTAATACAAGTTGGGAAGGTTGTGTTCTACACAGGAGTATTTGGCCAGGTAAGCACACAGGTGTTAAATGAAATATTTGCTCTGTTTGGTACTCACAGAAGGGCAAGTGAGCCATCAAATACCTGCTCTTACTATAGAGCACCTAGATCTACCTGGTAGACCTTCTTATGCAAGAATCCTTAAAAGTCTACTTTTTGTTGAAATACCTGAGTTCAAACATTGAACTTAGCATGTTTTTCCTTACTTGAACTGGTGAGCTTGAGTGTTTACCTTTCTGTACATTTATAATTTTTCTCTAAAATGTTGCCCATCAACTAAACATCTTTTCAGTGTTTCAGTTTAATGGTGTTTTATTTAAAAAAGAAAGTTTCCTTTACCCCTTAAAATAAAGAAAAATGTGATTAACTGAAAATTGCCTTTTTCTACTAAGGGTCCAGTTGGTGATGTTGTGAAAAATAAGACTCTTACACTGGAAAAAAAATTACTCTCAACTGTGTTGTTGAGGAGGGGCATTTTGTGTTCTTTACTAACAAGAAATCTAATACATGCTGACATTATTTACACATACTTTCCCACAAGTCACTTTACAGATCACTTTTAAGTGTAAAGTTAGGATCATTTTAGGATGCTCCCACTATCATTCCTGTGCTGACAACATTTCAAGACAGATCTTTGTCTTGGAAGAGAAGTGTGTTGGTACCAACGAAGAATAAAATAGCATCTTGTCAGCACTACAGAGGTGTGTGACTCCCTCTGAGGCTGGAAATGAACAGGCAGCCATATTTGTTGCCTGAATGAATCATGAATGATGATAAAATGCATCTTGTATTATTGACCCAGAACTTTCTTTTTTAATGCTCACATATAATACAAATAGTGGCCTTTAGAATATTTTATCAGAGCTGTTTTGATTAAGCATTCCCTTCTCATCTTTCTCTAGAAATCATTTGGTGATCTTTCCAAAAGATTCGCAATAAGAAAACGCTTGCAGTGTAAAAATTTCACATGGTATTTGGACACCATTTATCCAGAAGTGTATGTGCCAGACCTTAATCCTGTTATATCTGGATATGTGAGTATTTTCCTTTCTTACACGATGTACTTCTTGCTGCCACTACTTACATAGCTCAGGGAAAATTGCTGGAATACTTTCTAGTTTATTGTCTTTGAGATTTTACATCATTTTTATGAACAGTCACAATCTCTGGAATAACAAGTTATCTTCTCTAGAATTCATTGACAAAATGTAAACTATACGGATTAACTTTTGTAACTGACAATTTTCCTTTAGATTAAAAGTGTTGGTCGGTCTCTGTGTCTGGATGTTGGCGAGAATAATCAAGGAGGCAAGCCACTGATTCTGTACACGTGTCATGGCCTTGGGGGAAATCAGGTAAGCATGACACGAGAGATCTCCCCTCTCGTTAGTACTTAGAAACACCAGGGACACGTTGCTTATTCTGCAGAAGTTCTAACTCAGCTTCATACTCAAGTAAGCACACTCAAGTGTGAAATGTTTTCAGACTAAGCAGGACAATTTATATTGAAGTGATAGGGTATTTTGTTTTGTTTCACTCTCTCCATGTAACAGAAATAGAGACAAGAGGATCATTGCAAGTTCAAGACCAGCCTGGGCTACAGAGTGAGCTCAAGGCCAGCCTGAACTGCATAGTGAGACCCTGTCTCAAAAGAAAAAAAAAGCCAAAACAATATATTGTAGATTACATATAATATACTGTATTACATATGTATATATGTTATATATACAAAGGCCATATTTAACTATGTTTAATAGTGATTTAATAGTGAATATCCAGTGTTAACATGGACATAGCTAGGTTCTTTTTGTGGGCAAAGATATTATTTCATTAAATCTGTATCCCTTAAAAATGTTATGTTCTTAATTCTCCAAGGAGGGTGATATCCCTCCTTGTTACCATCCTATTTTCCTAAGACTCAAATGTCAAATGTTGACATCTGGATAGGGAACGTGACATATTAAATGTTAAGTTTTGGGGATTTAGCTTCTTTTCCTTAACATTTGCAAGTAAACTCTCCAAAGTAGAGTTAGACTCTATCTACTCTTATTTGTCATTCACCACATTTGCTGAGTGGCCCTGCATGCCAGGTACTCTGATGGCTTCTAGCTGTTTAGATTCTAATTCCTTCAGGAAAGCTGTATTTCAAATGGAACAGTTAAAATCAGTATGGTAACATATGGAATGAAACATTTAGAGCACTGGAGCTGTGGAACAGGGCATCTGAATTACATTGGGTACCCAGATATTTTTCTGGGAAAATGACATTTAAAAGGTTTTTTTAAAAAGAGATGTAGAAGCTAGAGAGGTGGTTGTGGGAATGGAAACAAAAAGAGAAGAATGTGAACCGATGTGTACTCAGGAGAGATACCTGGGATGGATCTTTTCTAGGCACTGTAGCTTTTGGTATGAAGTCCAGGATGTGTGTGTGGGATTTTCACAGTATTGACTCTCTTAGACCATCCTCTTTTATATGTCTTCCCACTCATGAGATTTTTTTAAAATTATCCATAGAATTAGCTGTCTTTTAGAAATTTTCAGATGGGGAAAAATCACATAGTTATATTTTATTCAACAAATACTGCTTTAGAGCCTATAATGTAACATACACTGTTATGGTAATGAAGAAGACAAAGGCAAGATACTAATTTTCGGTGTAGAGAAAAACAAAGCAGGTCAGTGGATAATGTGTGCGGTCATGGTTAGGGGTGGGGGTATTTTCTAAGATTAGGGAAGATCTTTCTAGAAAGATGACCATGTTCCAAGAAAGCTGCATTCTGGAGGAGGTATGGGGAAGCCCAGAGGCCCCTGCGGGAGGCTCGTATTGCCAGAGCAGAACAATCTAGGCAAGGAGGAGCAGGAAATGAAGTCAGAGACACCAGTAAACGGCCTGGTCAGATGGGGCTTCACATGCCCCATTGTGGAGTTTAGATTTCATTCCAAGTCACATGGTTTTGAGCAGGCTGAGAATGCCCACTTTATATTTTAAGATGACTCTGGCATCTGTCTCCCTAACATGGCCATTGATTTTATTTTAGTTTATATCCTTAAAATGTTATCTTCTACCAAACATTGTACTTTATTTTGCGAACTTTAGTTCCTTGAGTGATAAAAACTGAAATAGCATGTAAGTTCAACATATTCTTGTGTTTCCTTTTGCTTCAGTCATATAATGATATCTTTATAGTATACAACTCCATTATGTCAGCATTTGTATAGACGTTAAGTACAACAAATATCCTGGTTCTGTGCCTGAATTAGCTAATACACTGGTACAAGGCAGTTTATGTTACTGTAGCTTTATGACACTTAATGGTCTACTTCATTCACTTCCATGGTGTCTGTCCTAGTTCTAAGTTATAGGTCTTTCCAACATACAGCCACCTAATTACATACTTTTTTTCCCAGCCAGTGTAGTTTCAATCACTTTCCATTCCTTCTAAGTTCCATATTAATGACATTTTAATAATAGTGAGGTAAAATACTGGACAGCCTTTCTTACCATCTTTGATATATTTAGGTTTGTCTTTTTTTAGTTAAGTACGATTAAAATCCTATTTGCTTTCCTCATCTAATACCATTTTCTTTCAGTATTTCTATCTGAAAAGCGATCAAGAGCTCTATCACTGAGCCACATCCCCAGCCCTGAGACATTGATTTCCTTTTTCAGTCTGATACAATTTTCATTATAGGGATCTTTCACTTTCTTAGGTTAATTCCTAATTATTTAATTTTTTTTGATGCATTATGAATGGCATTGTTTTCCTAATTTCTTTTTCAGTGAGTTTTCAGTGAGTGTGTATAAAAATGCTGTTGATTTTATGTGTTTATTTTTTATCCTGCTACACTGCTGAATTTGATTATCAGTTCTAGGAGTCTTTCAGTGGAGTTTTTTGGGTCTTGTAAGTAAAGGATCTGCAAATAATGGTATTTCAGCTTCATCCTTTTCTATACATATCCCTTTTATTTCTTTCCTTTGTCTGATTGCTCTGGCTAATGTTTGGAGTGCTATATTGAATAGGAGTGTGATAATGGACATCCTTGTCTTATTCCTGATTTTAGAGGGAAGGCCTTCACCTTTTCTCCATGTAATATGATGTTGGCAGTAGGTTGATCATAAATAGCTTTTTGCATGTTGAGATAAAGACTTTCTACACCTATTTTCTTCAGGATTTTAATCATGAATTGATGTTGAATTTTGCCAAAGGCTTTTTCTGCATTCTACTGAAGTGATCATGTGATTTTTCTCCTTCTAGTTATGTGATGAATTATGTTAATTGACTTACATGCTTTAAACCATCTGTGTATCCTTGGAGTGAAATCTAATTGGTCAGGATAAACAATCTTTTTGATGTTTATTGCACTCTCTTTGCCAGTATTTTGTTAAAGATTTTTGCATGTATGTTCATTGGAGAAATTGGCCTATAGTTCTCTTTTTTGGTTGGATCCTGTTTGGTTTGGGAGTCAGGATAATGTTAGCTTCTGAGAATGATTTTAAAAATACTCCTTGCCTCTCAACTTTGGTATTAGATCTTCCCTACTGTAGTTCTTATAGAATTTGTCTGTGAATCCATCAGCTTTTCATTGGTATATTTTTATTATCACTTTAATTTCAGTGGCTATTATTAGATAGTTCAAGATTTTTAAGTCTTCTTGGTTTAGTTTTGGCAATTCCTATATATCTATTAATCTCTCCATTTCTTCTGAGTTTTCCAATTGTTTAGCATGTATGTTTGTGAAGTAGTTGCCAATAATTTTCTGGATGTCAGCAATGTCCACTGTGATTTCACCTTTTTCATTTATAATTGCATTAATTTTTCCCTTTCCCTTTGTGGTAAAATTGGCTAAGGGCTTGTCTATTTTGTTTATTCTTTCAAAGAACCAGCTCTTCAAAGTCACTGATAATTTGCATTTTTTTTAGTCTCTATTTCATTAATTTCTACTCTGATCTTTATGCTTTCCTTCCTTGTACAGGCTCTGGGTTTGGACTGTTGTTGTTTTCTAAGACTTTGAGATGCACCATTAGTTCATTTATTTGGGCTCATTCTATTTTCTGATGTGGGCACTCACAATTATAAACTCCCCTAACAGGACTGCTTTCAGTATGTCCCATAAGTTCTGGTATGTTGCACTGGAATTATCATTTAATTCTAGGATCTGTCTTATTTTTTTCCCCCAATTTCCTCTGTGATCCATTGATTATTCAAGAGTATGTTGTTTAATTTCCATATGTTTGCGTAATTTCTTTCTTTTTTTGCTGTTGATTTCTAGTTTCGTTGCACTGTGATCTTACATGAATGGTAAAATTTTGATTCTTTTGCATTTGCTTAGGCATACTTTATTTACTAGGATGTGGTCTTCCATGTGTGGCTGAGAAGAATGTGGATTCTGTTGCTGTTGGGTGGAACATTCTGTGTATATTTCTTAAATCCACTTATTTAAAAGTTTAGTTCAACTCTTCTATTTCTTTGTTGATTTTTTTTTGTTTAGTTGATTTATTGTGATAGTGAGGTATCAAGATTCCCCCACTATAATTGTATTAATGTTTATTTGATCTTTCACATTCATCAGAGTTTGTTTTATGAAGTTGGGTACACCATGGTCTGGAACATATGTATTTCCAGTCATTTTAGATTCCTTTTGAATAGGTCCATTAACTGTTATATAACATCCTTCTTTTCCTCTTTTGATGAGCTTTGGCTTAAAATCCACTTAGTCTAAAAATAAGATAGTTATTCCTGTCTGTTTTTGGGTTCCCATTACATGGAATATTGTTTTTATGTTGATATTTAGTCTATGCATTTCTTTTTGTGTTCTGTGTTTCTTGCATATAGCATACCATTGGATTTTGTTTCTTGATCTATTCTGCTATTCTGTGTCTTTCAATTGCTGAGTTGAATCCATTTACATTCATAGTTACAATTGGTATTGACTTATTTCTGTCATTGTATTAATTTCCTGTTGCCATTTGCTTTCTTTTCCTTCTACTTAACTGGTAGCTCTACCTGATATATCCATTTTGTTAGACCTTCTGGCAGTATTGGCTTCATTGTCTCTAGGATATCCTTGAGATTTTTTTGGTGGTCATGAGTGTCTGTAGGTTTTATTTATCATGATTGTGTCTTATTTTTTCATCAACTTTGAAAGATCATTTTCTAGGATATAATACTGTGGCTTGGAAATTGTTTTCTTAAAGAGCTTGAAACATTTTATCCTATGCTTTACCTGCCTTTAAGATTTGTGTTGAGAAATCTGTTTTATCCTAATAGGTTTTCTTTTTTCCCTTTACAGATGATTCATTGCTTTTCCATAGCAGGCTTTAAGATTCTCTTCTTGTGTTGTATTGCTGGTAGTTTAATTATTATGTTGTTTTATTCTGATCATGGCTATTCAAGATTCTATATGCTGTGCTTATCTATATATTAAATTCGTTTTCCATATTTGGAAAGTTTGCTATTACTTGTACAAACAGGTCTTTTACGCCCTTTGTGCTGTTTTCTGATTCTTTGCTAATTCAAATTACTCCTATATTAGTGCTCTTTAAGTCATCTTGGAGCTGTTGGATCCATTTTTCACATTCCCTGGTTTTTTTCAGGTATCTCTCATTAATTGATCATACACTACAGCCCTGTTCCTAGGTCCAACACTGTTTTCACATTGGTCCCTTCTGCTTCCCATGCTTTTAGTCATGGTTTTCACCTGGATTTCTGTTGCGAACTGTCTTCGAAATTCCCATTCTTTTCTGTGTTGGGCATTCATTCTTTTATATGTTGCCTTTCTTCCTTTCGCCCCACTAGCTGTTTGCTGGTGTCTTCTCTAAACTCTCTGAACCTTCGTTTCATTACAGTCATTATGTGAATAGTTGTATTTTCTCTAAATTCTCCAAGCCCCTTGTAAAATGGTTTTATCCCTACTGGAACCCTTTCAGACTTCTCTGCTGTGTAGCTTATGACTTCCTCCCCCTCAATACCACTGTACTGATTCTAGAGAGGAGTTTTTGGAGGTATGTTGTTGCCTTGTCTTTGCATGTTTCTGTAGTTATTTGGTTTTGTGGTGGGATTTGCAAATTCTTTGGCCCAGTGTCCCATTCCTGGGGAGGAGGCAAGCCAAAATTTTATGATCCCCCACCCCAATAATCCAGGTATTGGCATAGAGAGAAAGCCAGTTGCCAGCCACTGCTCTGATACCTTGTCTAGATAGGAAATTCATGAACAACAGTGGTACCACATTTCTATAGGAAATTGACAAACCCTAGGAACCATTCCTGAACAATGCTTTACCAAAGCCAAAGGACTCTTTAATGAAGGCAATCATATTGCCTTCATATTGGTCTATAGTAATTCAGAGCACTGACTTCTGCTGGTTGTTAGCAGCCCCAGAGCTCAGACCTATCACTTCACTACAGGCCTTCTTCCTCAGGACTGCCCCCTCTGACAGTTACTCCCTCTGAGCCTGGTCTCCCACAACAGAACACAGGCCCTGTGTCTTCCTGGTCTGAGCCTGGGCCTCCCAGGGGATCCTAGCAGATCCCTATTTAGCTCTTACCCTCTCCAAACCTGTCTCCCAAGGTGTTCTGTCATCTGCTCTCAGCGGAAGGGTAGGACTTCAGTCCTGAAGCAAGACTCTTCTCCTGAATGTTGTCTGTTCTTTGATTAGGGCTGTCTGTTGGTTGTCAGCTCTGTTACCCTGTGCTGCTGAGAACCCAGTGGCTAGAGGCAGGGCAGGCATTTCCCAGGTTCTCCTGACACCTGCACAGGGCCCAGCTAACATCAACTGGGGTGGGGTGCTTGCTTCTTTGGGCCTCCTGGGCCCCTTGCAAGGCTCCACCTATTGGCTGGGGGCAGGGCACGCACTTCCCGGGTCATCCTGGCACCAGTATGGGGCCCTGGCCAGTGGCCACAAACTACTGCATTATTGAAAATCAATTATGTTACCTTAGTTTATCTTTAGAATGTCAATATTATTACACACTTGATTTGTAATGGGTGTTATTAGTAGCTCTACTACCTGACTTTTGTCTGTGGAGAAGGCAGCTAGCTATACACATAAATCTAATAATATGCTGTAAAAACTATCAACTTACTATTGAAGCCTTGAAAATGGTATAATTTTATGCAGTAGGACAGATTTAGAGAACACCAAAGAGAGAAGGTAATATTTGAGTTTGTTCTTGAAGGATGAAAAGAAGTTAGCTTGGCAGGGGAGGGTCACAAGTGTGTTCTAGGCAGTAGCACACAATAAAATATGCATGCTCTATATCAGTAGAACTGTGTGAGAAGAGTATAGTATTCAGATGGGCAATGATTGATGGAAGATTGAAAATTGAACATTTCATGTGCCGATTAGTGAATGTTGACTTTACCTTAGCTACAGTGATGATTTACTTAAGCAGGGGCAGCAGGGGTTCAAAGCAGTGTTATAAAAGACTAACTGGCAAGGTCGGATTGCTGGGTTATAACAGAAATTGGAGGTAGTGGGAGGGTTGCAGTGTAAATCTTGAGGTCTAACAGAAGTCAAAATAAAGGAATAAAAATCAGTGGCATGTTAGGAAAATTCAGTAAAACTAAGAATGAGAGACACATAGAGAGAGAGAGAAGGAGAGTGGGAGGGAGGGAGAGAGAGATCACTAACAGTAATAATAGGTAAAATATCACATGCATATCAAATGTGCTAATCTCTGTTTGAGTGCTTGCACATATTAACCCATTATCTTCAATATCCTATGGGGGTAGGAACTATTAAATTTCTCCTTTTACAATTGAGGAAACAGGTATAGAGAGTGACTGTAGTTTGTAGTTTAATGAAAATGCCTTTGATTGAGATGAATAAGAAAAGGAACATATATTGGAAGAGAGGAAGAAGGCATTTTTGTGTTTGCTAGAAATTTCCAGGCCCGTTCTTACGGGGTCCCTGTGTTGCCTCCATTCTACCTGCTAACGTCCAGTGTTTGCAGTGGAGCAGATGATGCCTTACTAGTTACATTGGCTCTGTTGGTGATAGGTTGAGGGGAGACTATAGTATCTCCAACATCAAAACTCAGCACTATGTTTGGTACCTATTTTCATTGCATTATTTTATTGAAGTAGATATAACTGTATTATTCAGGTGTGAGTGGCTAGTTGTGTTTTTTTTGTGTGTGTGACTGAATACATAGGCCTTTTATCAATAACAAGACTCTTCCTTCCATAGTACTTTGAATATTCTGCTCAACATGAAATCCGGCACAGCATCCAGAAAGAATTATGTCTCCATGCTACTTCAAGTCTGCTTCAGCTGAGAGTATGTGCCTACAAAGGTCGCAAGACCATTGTCACTGGAGAGCAGATATGGGAAATCCAGAAGGTACTTAGTGCAATAAATTCACCCATTTATTCAGTTATTTTAACTACTCTAGTGATTAACTGGGAAAATGTGTGAAATATAGTACACTACTATTATCCATCAGAATTCCTCTGCCTTTATTAACTCTATTATATCTACCCACGGGATAAGGAACTGTGTCTATGTGGGTATTGCTAGGAATGAAGTAATCGTAAATTGCTTGGTGGAAGCCTGGTTTATGCAGCTCAAGAATTTCTGTGAATTGCTAAAAAGAGTTGCCTATTTTTGATATTTTAGAGTCTCTTGCAATTCTTTTTTGCAAAAGTCACATTTTTCCCACCCAGGAGAGAAAAAAATGTATTTATTTTCCATAAAGTAATTTTTCCTGTTTTTTAGTACTTTTCTATGAATCTAGAATTGAAAGAATACATGACATATCTTTTGTTTTAAAAGATGTTTTAAAGTTCTTATATAAAAACTGTTTTGTATAATACTGACATAGCATAAGACTGGTTTTTATGATTTATGAGTTTTTTTAGTTTATCACTTACGAATAAATCAGTGCGATGCCTCCTGTTTGACTAGTTGATTTAGATTTTGCTCTGTTTACTTCTCTTCATTAATATAACAATGCCTTAAGTGAACTGAACAGTTAGTAGCATAGATGGTGGTGCTTACAGCAGAAACCAACTGTATTTTATGAGTCATAATTAATCTTAGGACAACTTACACTTCAGACTGGTGAACATTAGTCTCCCTTTTGCCTCAATGAGATCTTAAATCATTTGCATATTTCTCAGTTAGTTATGTGTCCTAAAACTTAATGTCTTATTGTGTTTCCTTTTATCCTAGGATCAACTGCTATATAATCCATTCTTAAAATTGTGCCTTTCAGCAAATGGAGAACATCCAAACTTAGTGTCATGCAGTCCATCAGATCCACTCCAAAAATGGATTTTTAACCAAAACAATTAAGTGTTCCTTAAAGTTATGGGGTTGAAAAAGAGATATTCTTTCTCATAAAACTGTGACTAGGCATACACTGTAGTTTGGGGAAATTATGCAAAAGCAGCTAATTGTAACTTATTCCAAGTGCATTTTTCTTATTTATATCTCAAATGTCTATGTAGCACAGCTACAGAAATCCTATTCTGATTTAAAGCACAATAACTAGTAATACCAAAGACCATTTTGAAATGTCCAGATGTAGAAGAGATGTTTACAGAATGATGACGATAATTTTCTTAGTAAAGTGATCTTTGTGTATTTGTACACTTGAGGATATGCATAGCTACATTCATATACTTACTATATAACTTCCCCTCGTTTTGAGGGGAGGAATGAAAAAGATCTGATACTATATTTTTTTAACTATATAGCAATGGATCAGTGAAGGTCAGACAGTGACCTTTGTGTAAAAACCAGGAAATTTTTATAGATCTAGAATTTATTATTTTAAAATGCAGGTAAAATTATTTTGCCTTTTGTTTTATTGTCTGTCAGGTGTTTCCTTAAATATGAAGTTGAATAAGAAGAAGATATTTTTAAACACTTAAATTTCTTGGGAAATTTTAAAATATTTTTAAAATCTGAATCCACTCTACTTGATGCACTTAATGGCTTTTAAGTAAATATACTGTGTGCTTTTCCAAAGCAATTTTAAAACTTTATAAATTATTATCTGTTAAAAGGTGTCCTTTTCCTACCTTACAGTCTTTTTTTCTTACCAAAATTTACTAATCTTGAATGTTTATGACATTGACTTTTAAATGCAGAATACTTGACTCAGTGCTAAATTTTTTTTGTTATTGATTCGTTATAGATTGTCTTTGTAATGAATTTTTTCATAAAAACTTATTTTTATCTATGTGGAAAATACAATAAAAATCTTAATTACTGTTATAATCACTTGTTTAAATTGTCTTCCTCTTGGATAAAATCTGTACTTGATAGTAGGTGAGTGAAGTATGAATCTTATGTACTAAATTTGTAATACCTATTGCTGATAAAGCCATAAGATTTTCTTAAGAAAAATTCAGACATTTGATAAAAATAACATAAAAATTAGAGAATGGAAAAGATGCTATATTAGACATTTAGAAAATTTTGTACAAATTATAATTTTCTTGAGCATCTGATAGAGTGACTTTTTAAAAAAGTTTACCCTTGGGAGATTTAACACTTTATTTTTGGTAATTTTATAAATAGATCTCTTATAGTCTTATTCCAGAAGTGAAATATGATGGGTATTATATTTTAAATTTGGCACAGTCTCAAATATATAAAAGAAAATACTTCTTGACTATTGCCCCCTCTTTTATTGTTTATAACTTTAAACTTGTATTCAGATTTCTGTATTCTCTGATTGATTGCTAGGCCAAATTTATTTAAATTCAACTAATATTTATTTTGCATCTAACTTTGTGTCAGAATTTTTGGTGAACACAGTTAACACTTACTGTCTTTGAGTTATATCTCCTGGGGCAGAGAAAAAGAAATAATTTTGAAATAGTGAGAGCCAGTATGATGTTATATTTTATGGTGCAGATGATGGTTCACTTATTGGTATTTGATTTTCATTAATAAATAAAAGTCATGCTCTTATTTTAAACTAGTAATAATATTAAGTATACAGCCGTGCTTACTTTTATGTGTAATTGTTATTTCTCAATTTGTTACACTAGAAATGAACATTCATGAACAAATGCTACTCTGAATGCTTATTATAACTCTGAAAACAATGCAAAACAATTCTCCGTAATATTTTACAAATGAATTTAAGTCTGTTTTAGAAAAATGAAATCAAGCTGAAGGTCTTCCTCGTATCATTATATGTTGTTACATGATCCAACTTGAATCTGCTTAGATTAATCTGATTTTATTATGGCTGAGTTAAATCCATGCACAGGGAAAGTTCCTACCTGATATTGGCCTCTCAGACTATTGTGCAACTATCAGACCAAAAATTTCATTAAACATTGGCCATTTGGTGTGGGTGGTGCCTTTTATAAGTCTGAGTTTGGGGACTTCGTTAACAGGGAGTTATTTATAGACCCTGGCTGCCACCCACTGAACGATTTGAATGCACTCAAGTGTGAAATTGTGAAACTCTTGCTCAATTTGAAGCTGCCAAGGCAAATGGTCTAGGTGCTACATAGGACCTGGCGTGTTGCCTCCATTCCAGGGGACCAAGTCTTCAGAACTCCAGGTTGGTAAACCATGCCTGCTCAGGTCAACTAGATGGGCAGGCTCACTGAAAAAGAACCACACACATAGTCACAGCAGAAACTAAGCTACATGCTAAAATTGCCTATTACTGTCATCAATGATGATAAATTTTAAATTCCTTTTTTGTCAGAGAATGGTCTTAATGTTAATAGGCAATTCAGTTAAGTACTATATTATCCATCGAAAATTATGTGCAAAAATGGAGAGTGCTGCTATTTCTTAGAAAACCAGATTGAATTCTTAGGAAAGACTGGAAACAAATCATGAAATGCTAAATCAGAGGTGAATAAGAACTAATGTAGGAAAATAAAAATCAAGAAAGATTCTGCACTCAAATTACTTCACATTTCATTTTGAAGACAATAAAAATAAAGAACTTAAGACAGCTCATCTGGAGTATGGTCTGTGCCAGAGAGGTTTGCAGAACTGTCAGATACTTGGTGATACTCAGATAAAAGGCTTTGACCCTACAAGGGTATATTTGTGAAGGAATTAATATTCTTACAAACATACAGGTGTGCTTGTGGCTTCACACGTGTTTTCATTTAAAATATTTTTATCCTTTTAGTGTGTTTATATTTTAACAACTTTTTAAAGTCATTAACCATGAACAGTTGCGTTGGAGAAGAGATTTCCCTGCACACATAGTCACTTTTGTTCTCTAGGTTTCTACAATATGTAAGAAACATCTTTTGTGTCTTACTGATCCTAGTAAGCAACAGGATATTAATTTACAAGACAGTCCCTGTCCTCATTAAGGTATTATGCCAGTTAAGTGGGCATCAATAAAGTGTCACAATATAATGATGTTTTGAAGGGAAACAGTCTCATGATCCAGTCGATAGCATCATCTTCTCGTGCGTCCACTGGCTAAAGATAGAGGAACGCACAGAAGGCCCCATGTTTTGATGGTAAAGAACTAAAGGGGTAAGTCCTAAAATTTATTATGGACACCTGAGGACCTCATTAAAAGGCAGATTCTGAATCATTAACCCTGGGGCGAAGCCTTTGACTTTGTGTTTCTGTCATGCTCTTGAGCTGTCCAAGCTGCTGGCCCTGGAGCTCCATTTTGAGTAGAAAGTACACCCGTTCAGTCAATGCCTAGAGTCCTTTGAAACCACAGTGAGGATTTCCACCATACTTTTCTCATATATTCAAACATCACCAGAAATTAATGATTACACCTATTATTGTCAGTATGTTTTGCTGGAAGCATCCTTTGTATATCATTGATTTAATCAGCCTTTACCATCTGATCACCTCCTTCTCTAGAAACTTTTATTCCTGTTATTTGATCAGAAAACTTATATGAAAGTTGATTTTTCTGCATGAAATGAAACTAAACATCTAAGAATATGCTTTTCCTATTAATGAGAGGGCTGTGGTGTTTTGTTTTCTAGTCTGTGATTCCTCTTGGGCTTCCAGGCTAGGATTTGGAATACATTTCCTCTTTCTTAAAAAAAAAAAAAAAAAAAAAAAAATCCCAGTTTATTTAAAGCAATGCCATGTGGATAATTCATCCTGTACCCTTTGGTGCTACTATCACTCACTCATGAGTCTATCCATCATTTCTCATAACTCATTCCAGCCATCAGTTGAATATTTTAGTTCGTATTGGTCTTCTTTTCCTTATGTTCCCACTACTTTCATCCTCATGGGCAAATTCACTGCCCATCATCCTGGATTGTAAGCACTTGACCACCGTGCTCCTCCTCTGAACCACACACTCCCTCAGTATCACTAGCAGCCATTTCTACTCTGACAGCTCCATCACTTTAACTTCCCTGTCACCTTCTATTCTAATTACTACCTCTAGAACATTTTCCTACCTCTTTGACACTTTCAAACCTTTGATCTCTAGTCTATACTTTGTTACAGACTAGTTTTAATATTTCACAATTAAAGCTATTTTCCACTCCTAATTCCTATGACAATTTCTTGAGCACACTTATCCAGACAACAAACAGCAAATAATTTCTATACCCTGGTTATAGGAAATATTTGCACCCAGTAGCCCTGCACCCAGTTTTCTTCCTATGATGACATATTTCTGATAATTTTTGAACTATGCATTTACCTCTCTTCCTCCCTCCCTGTTCTACCCCCACCCCACATGCTTTTGTTAGGTCTTCTGCATCATGAATTCTGTCTTCCTCTGTCCTGGTTTGCTTTCCCATTTTGGAGGAGTACATCATACCATAATTTTCTGGAAAAGCTTTCAGGATGCATGCACTTTTTAAACTTTTATATCCAAAATAACTTTATTCTATCCTCACATCCAATAGTGTAGATTTCTTTGATGGAAATACTGTTTTTTCCTGTCATGTTGAAGGTTTTACTTTATCTCCTTCTAAATTCCCATATTGAAAATTCCACTGCATTTTTAAAAACAATTCTTGACCTTGTGTTAGTGATCTTATTTTTTCCTCTTGGAAACTCACATCTCTTTTTCCTATCCCAGCTTTTGAAAATTTGACAGAAAATTTCATATTATGGTAAAGTTTGCTCTTTCTTTAATGTGTTTAAATGCTGAGAAAATTTCCAAATGTTTCTTAGTTGTATCTCTTTTGTATTCTTAGTTTCTTTCTGGAAATTATATCAGATGCCTAATATGGTAAATCTGTAACTGATATTTGAGTAGGAAATAAGGTATTTTCCTATTTTACTTTTCCTCTAAGTCTTCTAGTTTTTCATGTCTATCATTTATAATTTCCAAGAGCATTTCCATCACAGTATTTCTTATATACCACTGTTATTTTATAAATGTGATTATTTTATCTTTCTAAGAATGCTAATGGTTGCTGGAGTGCTTTTTTGTATCTCTTTTGGGTTCCGTGTATTCCACAGTCTTTTTTTTTCTTTCAACTACTTTTTAAAAACTTGCTTTTACTCTCTCCATTCCATATTGGGTGCTTTCTTCAAGTGTATGGTGGTTTTTAATGACCTGTCTCTAACAGGGTAATGTCTCATACCTATTGGAAACTTTAGTACTAACAGGGAATGCTGATGGTGGTCTTTCCTGTAGAGTGGCTTAACTAGGGCCCTTGTACCATGGACGAAATGAGAGGATAAATTCCCAGGGAAAAATCTTCCAGTCGCCTGCCTGGAGGTAGCAAGTCTCACTGCTGTGCAAGGAAGGGAGCTGGACACACAGCTTCTGCTTGAATAGGGGAGAGAATCGAGTGCTCTAACAGTAAATGGATTGATAGCAAGTCATCCCCACACACATACAAACACACTTTCTCCCTCACTCTCAGGGACCCTGGGAACCACCAGTTCCCGCTGCTTTCTGTCATTTTACAGTGTAAATGGATTGTTGATCTAGTTTTTCCACTGCTAGCTTTGGATTAATTGTCTGTGTTCTGTTGACAGCCACTACTGACTTTCTTTCTAGCCTTCAAATGGTGATGTTACTGAACCTCTCTGCCTTTTTCCCCATGGATTTGTGAGTTTTCCCCCTGTGTCTTCACTGTCATTTTTGTAGGGTTTTGGGATAGAGCAGAGGAAAGTGAGAGCAGAATTTGATATTCTTGATGAAAACCTTCTCTCATTCTCAATGCCTTCCAGTCTGTCTTCTGTCACTAACAAATACCAAGCTGCCAGATTCAATATCCCTTTCCTGCCCTCTTTTATGGAGTTCTGCCATAGTTGAAACAATTGTCTACAACGCCATTCAA